AAGAGATATTTAAACTAAACTAGAAATGTCTCCAATTGTAGTCAGTGTGGATCAAAAATATAAAAGAACACGTTTCTAATACTATTTTAATAGTATTAGAGACGTGTTCTTTTATGGTACCTGTACCCCAGTAATACCCATCACATCATTCCGGCATGTACTGAAATTAAAAAACAGTACATGCCGGAATGATGTGATGGGTATTACTGGGGTACAGGTACCAAGGGTCCACATTACTTCGTTCTTCTTATACCCATTCATCATCTTTGCGTCTTTGTACACTGATTCTTACCATGGCTGGACTTACAGCCTTACTACATCATCATTTGACATTATTCATGATCACGAGTTGTTTGCCACCAACCCAGGCAATCATACATGTACATGCACTACGTGTACCATGGTGTACAGCAGGGAGTAGTATATTGGTATTGTACTACTCCCTGGTGTACAGTGTTTAGGTCTACGATTCCGAATGTTTTAGCATGGCATGGCGCGCGTGGCATGCACTGACATCTAGATCTGTAAAAAAAGTGTTGGTCAGTCCATTCAGAAAAGGTTGAGCGCTGGCTCTGGAGCTGGAGAGCTCCCGTGTTTGGCGATTTTGTGGTACATGTACACTGTGTGCAGTGCCGCGCGATTCGAAACTTGAAAAGGGTCCAAAAAGGCACCTCAACTGGGGTTCGAACCGCAAATGTACTGTTATGCAAGTGGAGTGAACGGCCTGGATTTTCATGGTTTTTACCCAATTCAGTGCTTTGGAGGCAAAACCTGGCCGAAATCCTATTCTTGTTTTGGCTTGCTTTTTGGAGAAAATTGACTTGGAAGAGCATTCCATGGGGGGATTGCCAAAAAAAGGAGACGAAAACTCAAAATTAAATTTTGAGTTTTCGTCTCCTTTTTCGTCTCCTTTTTTTAATATATTATTATTTGACCTGGCCAAAAGCCAGGATATCAACCTTTTCTGAATGGACCAGTGTGGACTTGGTGGTGTTGGTGTGCACACGTGACCATGTACCAGCAGACCAGACATGTCGACATGAGATCGACGTCGATCGCGATGCATGATCGATATTTTTATTCTATCGATCGCGATCGATCGTGAATCATCGTCACGTAACGTGAAAAACGTGTGAGACTCGCGCCCCGCCGCGCCGGGCGCGACAACGTCGAGAACTCCGACTCCGAGCTCAGCTCACATCATCGAGTCACATGTGCACATGTGCACACGTAGATCTACACTGCATGCAGTGACCCTGGTGACTCACATCTCCTGCATGCATGCTAGATGGCAAAAATCAGGGAGTCGTATATAATTATTGGTATTTTACGACTCCCTGGCAAAAATGCTATGCCTCCTAGATCCTGTCGTTTGAACTGCAAAAGTAAAAAGAAGTACCGCAGTAGATCTACGAACATTATTATTGTTTGTGTTGACTGTTGACGAGCTGTCTCGAAACTCAGTTACTGTTGTGTGTTGGTCGTAGTGCTGCAGTTTATAAGACTGAGTTCTCTGCTAAGGCGTGTTCCTTGTGCAGCGTTTTCACACGCAGGCCGATACTTATCCGCCCTTGTAAACAGAATGACAGACATCTTCGTAGCGTCAGGACTTTAGATATTATCTGGTTGCAATAGTGTGTCTGTGCTGTTGTAAAACTCCTGCACTGAGGACAGAACAATAATGACAGCAGTTTGGACAGTGTGAAATGTTCTCTCTTGTCTACGGACTCTGGAAATATTGGTTCCGGAAGGATGAGTACTACGTGATGATTCTAGGCCTGGACAATGCGGGCAAAACTGTAAGGGAAGACAGGCATTCACGAATTTAGCCCTGGCTTCATGTTTTATATCTGATTTGAGATGATAATAATTTATTTTCAAAGCAAAGTACATTGTACATGCGATATGCATGTACTACAGTCCATTCATAAAAAATACGGACTTCTAGCTTTTGGCCATAAATGGGTCAAAAAAATGGTTTTTTAAGAATTTTTCTGCAATCCCGTAGTGAATATCGTACTTTACCGGCTATTAGGGTGTGTTCTTAAATCCTCTTGGAAAAGTCGGAGACTCGGAAAAGTTCGAGAGCTGTTCTTAGATCCTCTCCGAATTTCAGGAGGCTCTCCCAAGCTCTCCAAGCTTCAGAGGTGGTTGAAACTTGGAGATTCCCGCGGTTTGGCATCTGCGCATGCGAACTACAGCTAAGCGCCATGTGTTGATCATGAGTGTACGCATTTCCCTTTCGCATACGCACAATACGTACTACATTCTTGGCACTGAAGATCGCGGCCCCGTTGGCGCTTCATATTGCTTCACATGTGCAAAATATCTCCGAAGTCTTCAAGATCCGTTCTTAAATTATACCGGTTTCTTCGACTTCTCTTTTCTTCGTCTCCGAGAAGCTCGAGAATATAAGAACGCGCCCTAAGTCAACCCCCGGATCCGGTGGTCATAATTCTGTTCTTAAAGTTTTCACCCAACAAAGCACTGCTAACCACTCACTGCTACTAACACATGAACAGATCACATAGACACTCCTCTTTGGAGGGTGAAACGTCCAGCTCCTTGAAAAAAAGGCAAATAAACTGGCAACAATGCGTACACATGGTGCATGCAGTGCAGGCCATTTTTGGAAGATACCGATAGTTCCCAGTTACAGACAGTGTATGTACGTGTGTCCGCACCTTAAAAGCCATGGCGGTATTTTTTTATTTTTTTTATTGAAAAACCACAAACCTTCAGACATGTATATTCGATTATAAAGCCAGTCTCAGTTATAAAGCCATGGGCTTCGTAAATGAAATGAGGTTTGAAGTACGTGTTGCAAAAATGAAGGAATAAGTACAAGGCCAGCAAAAATACAGCCCAGCAGGAAAGGTGAACAAGTGGATTTAGATTGAAATTTCTGTGTGGACTTTTACTTTTATGGCATGGCGTAGTGGGTGAGTCATTTTGCATCTAAAATATCTAGGAAAGCAGCGGTGTTTCGAATATAAGGGCATGGCGTTAAAGGCGCTGACATACGGTATGTCGAATCCCGGTTGTAAGTCGACCCCCACCTTTTCTCCTATATTTAGTCGTAACATGTCGACTTATATCTGGTAAAATACAGAACTCTTCCTATTCTGCTTCTGAAGTCTATTCCTCCAAAAAGCAAGTTTAGCAAATTTAGGTCTGCGCCTGCTAAGGGGGCGCGCGAATCAGGCCACTTCCTGGTCACAACGGACACTTCGACAGTTAGCGGCAATGATTACTTTACACGTTACAGTTAGAAAGATTCGGCAGACTACATATGAACAAGAAATAAGTACAGGGCAAGGAGCCATAAAAAGGTGCTTCGGCAAGGGCCAAGCAAGCAGAGAGAGATTGTCAGGAAGAGAAAGGCAAGCTGGCTGGCGGCAACCGTATACAAAAGTGAGGTTCGTGGCATACGGTACGCCAATATGCTAACGTACGCTAAAGCCAGTGCTTCCAAAAACATTGCGGAAAGTGCAGCGTGGGCAGCACAAAAGCCACGTGGGTGACTGTGAGAATTATGACGTAGCAAGTCGTAGCACGACATCACTCCCCCGCCAGTGGACTGACGAAGGATAGTGCACGAAATGTAGAAAACAGATTGAGTAAGGCTAAGTAAATGTACAAGATTAGTGTTGCTATGGCGGATGCGGTATAGCAAGCGGCAAGAAAACGAGAAATATATAAAGTGGACATGTACAAGAATATTTACAAGTCATTGCAAATGGATACAGGGTGTATGCACTGATGACGATCACACACAAGAAATTCAGTCATTCCAATGAATTCACTCATGCCAACGGACAATACGATGCTGAATTGATACTGACCCAGATGGGGTGGTCGCTGGCAGGATGGCCGAGACAGGTGGCGCACTCGTGGCAGTGTCGGGGAGATACGCAGGCTTGAGGCGGTCAACGGAGACACTATCCTCCTTGCCATTGAGCAGTATGGTGAAGTACTTGTTGTGTCGAGAGATAACCTTGAACGGGCCTTGATAGGGCGGCTGGAGGGGTTTACGCACAGCATCCGTGCGGACATACACATGCGTCGCTGTGGCTAGGTCGCCGGACACCCACACGGAACGGTTGCTGGATCTGGGAGTGGTGGGTCGTAATGCCTGCAGAGATGTGCGGAGGGCTTGGACATAGTGAGACGGGCTGGGTGAGGTTGAAAAGCTGGGCTCGTAGAATTCACCAGGAAGACGCAGTGTTGTGCCGTAGGTGAGCTCGGCTACACTGCAGTCTAAATCGGCTCTGTACGCTGCACGGATGCCGAGCATGACCAGGGGCAAATTGTGTGACCAGCTGCCGGATGCCTGTGCCATTAGAGAGGACTTCATGTGGCGGTGGAATCGCTCGACCAAGCCGTTACTCTGGGGGTGATACGCAGTGGTGCGTAGGCGGGAGGATCCGAGTAGCTTCAACAATGCAGCGAATAAGCTTGACTCGAATTGTCTGCCACGGTCGGTGGTGATCACTGATGGAGTGCCAAAACGGGACACCCATTGTAGCAGGCCGTGTGCGGTTGACTCGGCTGTACAGTCGCGTAGTGGTATTGCTTCGGGCCAACGGGTGAAACGATCCACACACGTTAGCAGATACGTGAAACCTTGGGATGGCTGCAGAGGTCCGACGAGGTCGATATGGATGTGATCGAACCGGGCGTCAGGCGGCATGAATTTCGACAGTGGTGCCGAGGTATGCCGGTGTACTTTGGACCGCTGACATTCATGGCAACAGCGAGTCCAAGCGCGCACATTCTTAGAAATGGCAGGCCAAACATACCGAGCTGTGATCAGACGCTGAGTTGCTTTGATGCCAGGGTGGCTGATGCTGTGGAGCGAATCGAAAACAGGTCTACGGAATGCTTCTGGGACATACGGCCGTGGTGTACCGGTGGATACATCGCACAAGAGCGGGACAGGAGAGAACGGCAGCGAGATAGACTTGAAATCGAGACTGGTGTCTGGACGAGTACGGAGTGCCTCGAGCTCTGGGCAGTTGGTCTGGGCAGCCGCAAACTTGGTGAAATCAATGGGTTGCTGGATGGCATTGACAGACGGTCGGGAGAGTGCATCCGCAACAACATTGTCCACGCCCTGGATGTGCTGCAGGTCGGTGGTGAACTCTGCCACATATGCAAGTTGACGCTGCTCACGCGGGGACAGGCGGTCGGACGCGGTGCGGAGAGCAAATGTCAGGGGCTTGTGGTCCGTATACACTGTAAACTCTCGACCCTCGAGATAGTGACGGAAATGGCGGATGGACAGGTAGATTGCCAGGAGTTCTCGGCTGAATGTGCTGTAGCGTGTTTCGGCCGGCTGTAACCGCTTCGAGAAGAATGCAATGGGCTGCCAAGTCGAATCGACCAGTTGGTTCAGGGCAGCACCAACAGCGAAATCGGACGCATCAACCATGAGGGCGATCGGAGCGTTAGGTTGGGGATGCGTGAGAAGCGTAGCAGTGCTGATGGCTCCCTTGACGGCAGTGAAGGCAGCTCGAGCTGTGTCACTGAGGACGATAGCTTTGTTCTTCGGCGTCTTGGGGCCAGCGAGAAGATCAGTGAGCGGTTGCACTATTTTCGCACACCTGGGGATGAACCGGCGATAAAAGTTCACTAGCCCCAGGAAACGACGGAGTGCACGGAGAGTTGCAGGCTCAGCATACTCAATGATAGCTTGCACCTTCTCGGGCAGGGTGTGGAGACCTGCAGCGTCGACTCGGTGGCCGAGGAAGTTGACGGCCGGTGCCAGGAACTCACACTTGTGCAGGCTGATGATGAGGCCATGGTCCTCGAGACGTTGAAACACAGTACGGATGTGCTCCAGGTGCTCTTCTCGAGAGGTGCTAGCGATTAGCAAGTCGTCCATATAGACGAAGCAGAAGGGGAGGCCCTGCAGTACTTGGTCTATGAACCTTTGGAACGTCTGGCCTGCATTGCGCAGGCCAAACGGCATGCGGACGAACTCGTAGAGGCCGAATGGCGTAACGACGGCTGTCTTCGGTATGTCGTCAGGGTGGACGGGAATCTGATGATATGCCCGCCGGAGGTCAACCTTGGAGAAAATTTTAGTGCCGTGGAGCGAACTAGCAAAATCCTGCAAGTGGGGGACAGGATACCGATCTGGGACCGTCTTGGCATTTAGCGCACGGTAATCACCGCAGGGACGCCAATCGCCGTCTGACTTAGGCACCATATGCAGGGGCGAAGACCACGGGCTGGAGGATGGCCGGATGATGCCTAGATCAGCCATGTGCTGAAACTCAGCCTTAGCGGCGGCCAGGCGATCGGGTGGCAGACGGCGTGCACAGGCATGGGCGGGTGCACCAACCGTTTCGATGAAGTGAACGGTGTCATGCTTGATTGTTTGGGGCTGAGCTGCAGAATTGGTCAGTCCAGGGAATTCCTGCAGGAGTAAATTCACCTCCGGTTGCTCGGTGAGCGGCGGTGCTAGAGACGAAGTATCCTGGCCGTGAGCTAGGACGGCATGCACGGAGAGATCGGTCACGGTGTCATGCAGGGCACGGTTGCGGATGTCTACAGTGAGACCGAACTTGTGGAGGAAATCGGCTCCGAGAATTGGACTAGAAACATCGGCGATCACAAAGAGCCATGGGAATGACCGACGAAGACCGAGGTCAACGGTGAGCGATCGACAGCCATATGTGGGAATGCTAGTTCCGTTGGCTGCACGCAACGTGTCAATGACGGCGGTCTGCTTGCCTTTACGGAACGTGGTTGGCAAGACACTGACGGCGGCGCCAGTGTCGACTAGGAGACGCAATCCCGTGACACGGTCTCGGACATAGAATAGGCGACATGTGGTCTGCAGGCCAGCGGTGCTGGTCGCCAACAGGGGCTGGCCAGCTAGTTTGACGACCGGGAACAGGGTGGTCGGCAGTTCTTAGCTTGGTCGCCAAACTTGCTATGAAAGAAACACAGGCCGGGCCGACCAGGCGAGTTGTTCCGTGAGCGCGGTGGACCAGATCCACGGCCAGGGCTGCGACCCCGGGATCCGTCCAACCGTTTATGCAGAGAGCTGACGGCCTCGGTCAGGGCAGCAATCTGTTGCTCCAGGGCGGACATCCGAGCGTCGTCCTGTGATGGGCGTTGGATGGCGGAGACTGAGGCCTGGGTTGTCTCCATAACCCGGTCAGCAATGGCAGCTAGTTCGGAAAGGCTTGTAGCCTTTTGGGTCGACGCAAGGACCAGCTGGGCATTGCTCGGAAGTCGCTGCAAAAACAGCTCCCGTAAAATCGACTCATCCAATTGGCTGGAGCCAATAAGCTGCTGCATGCGGCGCAACAGGTGGGATGGGGTGCGGTCTCCAAGCTCCTCTTCCGTGAGCAGACGCCGGAGTCGCTTCTGCTCAGACATCTGAGTGCGGGCGATGAGCTGGCTTTTCAGCGTCGTGTATGGCTCAGTCTGCGGGGGACTGATGAGCAGCTCTCGGACCTCCATGGAGAACTGCTCCGACAGTGCCGCAGCTACATAATCGAACTTGGTCCGCTGGGCAGTGATGCCACGATGACTGAAGAGACACTCAGCCCGGGCAAACCACAGAGCGGGATCCGAAGGGTAAAAATCGGGCAGCTTGATACTGACGGCTGCCACAGCAGGGGGCCGGTCCAACTCAAGGCTACTCCCAATAACACTACCACTGGTACTGGCTGTGGCCTGTGCCTTGTTGAGCTGGTCCAGCAGAGCCTGCTGCTGTTGCCTGAGCTCCATGAGTTCCTCCCTGGTAACTGAGGGTGCGTCCGGGAAAGGTTTTCCACGGCCCTTCCCGTTGCTGGCCGGCGTGGTCATGGTGAACAATGTAGCCTTGCCTACAGAAATATCGGGGTCACCAATTTAGCAAATTTAGGTCTGCGCCTGCTAAGGGGGCGCGCGAATCAGGCCACTTCCTGGTCACAATGGACACTTCGACAGTTAGCGGCAATGATTACTTTACACGTTACAGTTAGAAAGATTCGGCAGACTACATATGAACAAGAAATAAGTACAGGGCAAGGAGCCATAAAAAGGTGCTTCGGCAAGGGCCAAGCAAGCAGAGAGAGATTGTCAGGAAGAGAAAGGCAAGCTGGCTGGCGGCAACCGTATACAAAAGTGAGGTTCGTGGCATACGGTACGCCAATATGCTAACGTACGCTAAAGCCAGTGCTTCCAAAAACATTGCGGAAAGTGCAGCGTGGGCAGCACAAAAGCCACGTGGGTGACTGTGAGAATTATGACGTAGCAAGTCGTAGCACGACACAAGCCGTAACAAGAATTGGATTTTGGCCACGTTTTGCCCCGAAGCACTGGGTTGGGTAAAACCATGAAAATCCAGGCGTTTCACTCCACTTGCAACAGTACATTGAGCGGTTCGAACCCCAGTTGAGTTTTTTTTCTTAAATTCAACACATCATTTAATACACAGTGAGGAATCCGGGCCACAAAGCCTGCACAAGTACACATGAAGGAATAAAGTTCTAAAAGAAATACTTTTATAATATTTTCTGAATAATGCTCTAGACCTTCTTAGTTCTAAGGCACACTATACAGGGCCTTAGGAGGGCAAAGGAAATGCGGCACCTGACAAATGCCATGACATGTGCATACGGTTCATTACGCTTGTCAGCCAGCAGCGATGCACTTCTCTTGTACAGGCTGGTTGCCGAACACCCGAAACCACCCGACGCCGTCATAACTACCGGGGCGAACGACGGCGCTCGCTGCTGTCGTCCACGATCGTCCTGGAGAGATAGTCTGCTGTGACATCCTCCACGCCGGGGACATGCACGGCCAGCAGGTGTATCCTGCGGTCGGCTGCCCATTGCCAGATCTCGAGGGCCAGCTGGCACAACCGATACGAGTGGGTGCCGCCCTGGGGGTTGACGCACGCCACTGCTGTTGTATTGTCCATCTCCAGCCGGATCGTGCAGTAGTGTTCTACATTGAGGACCCGCGCCTCGTACTTCCTTTGTTTTTTCCTGTTCATGTCGGCGATAGACAGTGGCCAGTGGTGTAGTGCGGTTCGAGGCAGCATGAGGGTTAAACACCCGTACATCAAATGAGTGTGCGCTTAAACCGACTGCTCCACAATCTGCTGACACCGATATCAAGACGTGCCTGGTCCTCAGTGATTGCCGTGCGATAGCGAGGCCCTTCTCCAGTCAATGGTTGCAAACTTGGCTCAGTGGCCACGTTATGCTAACAAAAGGCGAGTTGGGAGATGGACTGTGCTTGCACCGTGGGGTGGTCGCTTAAACCAGGTTTTACTGTACTCGTCTGATGAGTATTTTTGAACACGAAACTCAGTCACGAGAAAGCTTTTGGTCTCTGTTGTTCTGCCTTGTGTAATGCTATTGTGTCTTTCTTCAGACCTACTTGGAGAAATGCAAACAGCTGATGGCCAGAGGTTACAGTGGCATATCTCTGGATAGGATATCACCTACGGTCGGTATGAATGGTACGTGTGCCATGCCCGTGACATTGCACACTACGGGTGATGCTGTCTCTCTCTCTCTCTCTCGCTCGCTCACTCTCTCACTCGCTCACTCTCTCTCTCTCTCTCTCACTCACTCGCTCTCTCTCACTCTCTCTGCATTCACCTCTGGTTTCAAACTATGTGTGCTCATGTCTCTGCTTACACAAACCCTTGTGGTATGGTGTTGACCTGGCACGGAGCGCAGTTGCAGCTCACCTGGTTTCATGGCCATGCACATTTTATCCTGGCTTCACCTTTTCATTTTGCATTCTTTGCATTCCCTCCCGTAGTTGGCCGTATTGATGTAAGCACGATCCGCCTGATCTTCTGGGATGTTGGCGGCCAACAAGACTTGCAGACACTCTGGGAGAAGGTAATTGTCTCTGTCTGTGAATGGCTGTGTGTGTGTGTGTGTGTGTGTGTGTGTGTGTGTGCGCACGTTTATGCATGTGTGTGTGTGTTTGTGTACGTGTACGTGCGTGCATCTGTGTGTGTTGTGCATATGCCATAGATGGCTCTGTACCTGGGTATTGACTATACTATTGACTGCTGTATTGTTGAGCAGTAACAGTTGCCTAGTGTATGTACAAAATGCACATGTGAAGATGTGTACCTGTGCATACTTGGACACGGCTTTATAGTTGTGTTTTGCAAGGGTGTACCATTGCTATTCTTTATCTATGAGATCAGTGGTATGGCTGCAAAGAAACCTGGACTTTCAAGAATAACTCCTCCTTTGCTATGGAGTCCTGTCCATGTATCCATATCTCTCTCTCTCTCTCTCTATCTATCTATCTATCTATCTCTATCTATCTCTATCTCTCACTTTCTCACTTTTGCCCTCGCTCACAGTGTGTGTGTATGTATGTGTGTGTCCCTGTCTGTCTGTCTGTCTTTCTCTCTCTCCACCTCCTTCTTTGTCAACTCTCTCTCCTTGTCAATGCGTGCAGTACTACACTGAATGTCATGCCATCATCTACGTTGTGGACTCATCGGACCAGGCTCGGATGGATGAATCGCTGCACATTCTTGGTGAGCACAGTCATGTGCAGTACTATACTGGTACAAGTACTCGTAGCCATTGTCTAAAGAGTCACACGTACATACTGCAACCGTTGCGCCATAGAATTCAGTTGAGATTAGCAATTCATGTACTTGAAGATGCATTGTGTTACAACATGTAATAGCGATGGTCCCTGGTTCGAGTCCTGGTGGTGACAGTCAATTTTTTTCTTCAGACTTTTCCGTTTGCATCTCTCCCTCAAACTAATGAGAATGTAATAGCATTGTAGTTTGTTTGTCTAATACCAGGGTTCTAGCCAGGTCAAAATGGTATAGGGGGGGGGGGGGGGGCTGGGAAACAGGTACCCTGTATCCCATTTTTCCAGTTTCCAATATTGTCTTGCCACGCTAAATGCAACGTATGGGGAGAATCCCCGACTTCGCCCCAGACAAATGTGCCTTTAGGAACCATCTAATAGTGACTTTCGACTGCATTTTCGTTGAATTGCATGAAAAACACGAAAATGGGTAGGGGGCGACACTTTTCACGGGGGGGGGGGGGGGGGCGAACAGAGAAGGGGGTGCTCCCCCCCCCCCCCCCTTTGGCTAGAACCCTGTAATACTATCTATACCTGAATTGGGTACACACCGGTCTTCTGTCACGAGTATTGTCACCTGGGACAAGGGACATTCATTGTGATCATTTCCTGGTGGCAAATTAGGACACACATGTACATGATTGATCCATTTGCATTATACATGATTGTACATGTATTGTGTTTGCACATGGCAGTGCCCTACTCTCATAAGGCCGTCATCACACTACGTTCTCCGACTCCCGTTTACGTCTACGTCTACGGTGAAAAACCCAAAAACGGGTGGTCGTGTCATCAGACAGGCACAGTTCTTGACGCGTACACGCAGTCACGTTTTTGAAGAAATTTGAACGCATGTACAACAATGTACATCGAAGTACAGGGTCGCTCGGAAAAAGGCTGGGGGAGATACGCACGTTCATTAGTGGTGAAACGAATATCAAAACCCAGTAGCCGAATATTCTTCGGCTTAACGAACGAATATTCTTTCGTTAACACGGATGACATCACATGCCCTCCTCTCAGCCATTTTATTGGATATTGTCACTATTATTAGGCATGCATGACGAACGAAGGCATATATTTCTCCATCATTTCTAGGTCATTTTTCATAAAAAATCCCCAGCTGAAGTGCCTTTCACAGGCTCACAAAACAGCTTGAGACGTGATTTTCGTTCGAGCGCCATACCTCCCCTCCAGGACCTCGGATTGCGTTCGGGTGGCTTCTAAACAACAGCTGAGAGTTTGCTAATGCCGATAGATCTTTCAATGAAGCGATTCGGTCAAGTATTCACGAAGTTACGAAAGTTTGAAGTCGCCCGGTTGATTCTGCATACCGGGTTTAACGAATATTCGCCATGAGCAATTTTCGTTCGAATGTGTCAAACCGAACGAATATTCGAACATTCGGTATATTCGTTTCACCACTAAGGCCACACCAAGTTATTTCTATGTTTCGCATCACCCGCTCGCATACCTTTTCGAATCCTTGACAAGAAAAAAAACCTAGACGAGCCAATCAATGGCTGTTCTGGCGAACATTCTCTAGCCAGTATGGCAGATCAGAGGTTATCAGCTTCTCGATAATCTTGCATTCCAGGCGATTTTACGTAGAAGGTGCGAGAGATGAAAGTTTCTATTTTTCCAAGCCGTGCGGTAGGCCTAGGGCCTGCTCACCAATTGAGCAGAGATTCCAGGTGTCAAGGACTTCGAGATTTTCCACGATTGTGATGGAGCGGGATCCCACTCGACTCATGTCAAAATGCAGGAGGAACCATCCATGAAATCTCTGTATCGCTCCAGCCCAGTCTGCCAGCTGTCCTGTGACGACTTGTTGTCGTTTTGGATAGAAGTGACAGTTTAGTAGTGGTATTCTGTGTGCAACATGGCTCAGTACACATAGAATGGAGTTTTTGTTTTTTCTTCTGTTTTTGTTTTTTTTTCGCCCGCCCGCATGCCTTTTCCAGAAAATATCCGACGCGAAACATAGAATTAACTTGGTGTGGCCTAACGTTCATACAAAAAGTCGTATCCCCCTCTCCATACCAAGTCTACGTCTCCCGTTTCCTCTGCTCCCGTTTTCACCCCGTATACGGATCATCATGACAACCGACCAAAACCTCCTTACGTGGACGTAGACGCAGCGCTTTGTACCATGGTGTGATGACAGCCTAAGTGTGACCATGCCCGCTACTAGTAATATTGTAGGAAGTGGTCACCTGATATTCCCTTTGCATGCACTTGGCATGTATACTCTGTGCCTGTGCGGTGTCTAATTTGATGCTTGCCTCTCTCTTCTGCTTTGCTCACCTGGTGTCCACAGAGCGTCTTCTCGGCAGTGATCATCTGACGGGAATTCCAGTCTTGGTCGTTGCCAACAAACGAGACAAAGAGGTATGTAACAAAGCAGTACATGTACTAGTATTTGTATTGACTATCTGTTACTATTGCCTATGTGCTCAATACTGTGCTCTAGACAATTTTCTGGCACGGTCATCTACTTTTTTCTTAAAAAAATTCATAAGATGCTTTAGTGCAAGGGCCAAGTTTGAGAAGCTGCATGGCCCCAAACCCCACTCCTCTAAGGCCAGGATTTTTTGATAATTTGATTTTATGCCAGGGCAGATACTGTGAGAATTACAAGAATTCCTCAGCGAACCCCACACACCCAATTTGCATTTTAGGTACTCCACCACTGCACGATCATCTCTGCATCTCTCATACTCCAACGAAACGGATGTCGAGAGGTCCTTGTCACTGATGTATATGGCATACTTCCGTATATCAGGTATATGGTGCAACTCCTGCACCCGTATGCACCCGCCTAGAGCTCCTGCTTCCATATGCGCTCGTACACACTTTCCTTGGTGTTCGTACACACTTCCCTTTTGTGTTCGCACACTGCTTGGAATGTTGTTCTTCGTTTGTTGTCCTCCTTGCTAGTTGTGAATAAACTCTATCTGACACCACATGGCGCAGTGAACATTTCGTCCTGTAGTTTCCATTCTGTCCACACCAACCTAGTTTGTAGTGTCTTACCTGGCCCAGTAGCAGTGTAGCACTCCGTTGGATTTGGATTAGATTACCCTGCAGTCAGTTTGTTAGTTCGTTTTAGATAGGAGTGTTGTTCAATTTATTTCGTAGGACGTAGTCGTGTGAGCTGTCACAACGTGCATTTGTGATCAGCATGGCGAGCAGCGATCCCGCAGCACCTTCTGGTAATGGAGTGCCTGACGTCGCCACGCTCCTGCAGCTCCTGACAACTCAGGCACAGGCGTCTGCACTGCGAGATCAACAGTTTCAGACCCTGATGGAAAGGATGTCCAACCAGACCAGTACTAGTTCTACAACCCCACCCGCACCCAAGTCTGTGTCCGCAGAACGACCAGTATTGTTATCTACTGCCACAATGGCAGAATTTACCGCTTGGGAGGAGGCCTGGCGTGACTATGCGCAATGCCAATGTCTCGCCAGCCACGACCGCCATACACGTATGTCAGCGTTCCGCCAGGCCCTAGATGAGGACCTGCGCCGTTTCATCCGAGAAGGCATTATCGCCTTCCCGGAAGACGCTGACATTGCTGATGCCATCCCGGTCCTCCAGCAGTACATCCGGCGGCAGAGGAACCCGCTGCTCGACCGAATCGAATTTTACAAGAGACGGCAGCAGCGTGGGGAATCATTTGACTCCTTTTATACGGCCCTCCGTGAACTGTTTCACGCGTGTGACTTTTCTGGGTGTTCAGTATGTCATAACTGCAACCAGGCGATGTGCAACCCCTGCAAGGCAGGCCTGTTGAAATTCAACAACGACATACTACGTGACCGCATTGTGACAGGTGTATTTGAGGACGACGTGCGTCACAAGCTGCTGGCCCTCCAGAACTTGGATCTGGAGGCAACCGTGAAGCTCTGCCGTGCTGAGGAAGCAGCCTGCCAAACTTCCTCTGGCATTCCCTCCAGTGGTCACGTGCACGCAGCTAAGAAATCATCTTATAAACAGCAGAAGGCGAGCCGGCCCGCACCCGTGAAGTCTACACCAGACAAGCCCGCAGGTGACAAGTGTCCCAGCTGTGGTCGCAGTCCCCACACCAAAGGCACATGTCCTGCGAAGTCACGCAAATGTAACGGATGTCAACGTGTCGGACATTTCCAGTCCATGTGCCCGCACAAAGGCAAACCAACAGCATCCGGCAAAGTCGGCCAACTTAAGTTGCAACGTGCCTCTGTTCGACATGGTCTAGAACTCAGTGTCCACACGCAGCTCAACACAGAACCGACCGCCGAAGCCATGACATGGATTCCAGACACCGGCAGTGATGTAGACGCCATTGGGCCAGCACATCTTTCCCAGCTAGGTGGCTTCCCTGAGAACCTTGCCGTCGATTCCGACACTGTTTCAGCAGCAAACGGCACCTCTCTGGTTAGCCTGGGAAAGATTTCTGCCACGCTCTCCATTGGCTCAGCCCAGCACACCACGGTACTTCATGTGTATGAAGACCTCGATGAGGCGTTGCTGTCATGCCAATCTCTCCGTGCTCTTGGCATTCTCCCTGAGTCCTGGCCGCGGATCTCCCGTGTGAAGTCCGAACCCAGTAGTGCAGACATTGCTGATGTTAAGGCTCAGCTGATGCAAGAGTTTGCTGATGTATTCGACGATTCCCAACTGAAGCCCATGGCTGGTCCTCCCATGGAGATAAAGCTTCAATCTGACGCCACACCAACTCGTGTTAATGGTGCCCGCGCAATCCCATTCGCATTCCGAGATCAGATAAAATCTCAACTGGACGACATGGTGATCAATGGAATTATTGAGCCAGTCACTGAACCGTCAGACTGGTGCCACCCGATCGTCATCGCAGATAAGAAGTCTTCTAACGAGAAGCGCCTCACCGTTGATTTGCGTAAACTCAACGACCAAGTCTGCCGACCAACACACCCAGCTCGTACTCCACGTGACGCCGTGACAGCTATTGGTAAAGCCCGTTTCTTCACCACACTCGACGCTCGTCATGGGTACTGGCAAATACCCCTGTCCGACGACTCGAAGCCGCTCACGACATTCATCACGCCCTGGGGTCGGTATCGCTATTGCCGCAACCCTCAAGGTCTGTCCTCAGCAGGTGACGAATTCAACTGCCGCACAGACGCAGCATTTGACCGCATCGCTAACTTCGTCAAAGTCGTTGATGACGGCCTAGTACATGACGTCGATTTTCAAGACCACGTCACCCACGTTCGTGACGTCCTTCACCGTGCCCGTGAGCATCACATTACGCTCAGCCCACACAAGTTTGTATTCGGCGCTAGTGAAGTACAGTTCTGCGGATTCGTCATCAATGCTGATGGTTATGCCGTTGATGGTAGCAAGACATCTGCCATTCGCCAGTTCGAAGTGCCCTGCAACCGCACTGACCTCCGCTCGTTCTTCGGTTTGGTCAACCAATGCAGCGACTTCACATCGCGCATTGCTGAACTAAGTGAGCCGCTTCGCCCACTCCTGAAAACCAGCAATGAGTTCGCCTGGGATCAGCAGCACACCATAGCATTCGAAGCCGTCAAAGCCATCCTGACTGAGTCACCAGTGTTAGCTTTCTTCCAACCTGGCAAGCCTCTCCGTCTCGAGACTGATGCATCTGTGAAGAATGGCCTTGGATTTGCCCTATGGCAACAGCATGATGACCAGCAATGGCACCTCATCCAGTGTGGAAGTCGTTTCTTATCTGACGCTGAAACAAGGTACGCTGTAATCGAGCTCGAGTGCCTCGCAGTCGTCTGGGCAGTGCACAAGTGCCGCTTGTATCTATCTGGTGCACAGTTCTCACTAATCACCGACCATCGTCCGCTTGTACCGATTATCAACAGCTACACCCTTGACCAGATTGAGAATTCTCGTCTACTCCGATTGATCATGAAACTTCGTCCGTATCAAGTGAAAGCATCGTGGCGTAAGGGTTCAGAGCACGTATTCGCAGACGCCCTCTCACGGCATCCTGTATCAATCCCGACTAGTGATGATGAACTTGGAGAAGATCCAGCACTGTCCTGCCGCAGTATCCGTATCTGTCTACTCCAAGATGGTCCCCAGAGTCTCCGGTTCGCTAAGCTCCGTGCCGCAGCAGCATCTGATCCTGACTACCAGATGCTACTCGGGTATATCCAGAACGGATTTCCCTCAGCACAAAAGCAGCTGCCCGAGCCTCTTCGTGCGTATTGGAACGTGCGTGAACATTTGTCCACCGACAATGGCATAGTCCTGAAAGGTCTACGCATAGTCGTCCCAGCCTCTCTGCGTGCGTCAACGCTGATCGACCTTCACGCAGCCCACCAAGGTCTGACCCGTACCAAACGACGTGCTCGTCAGACAGTGTATTGGCCCGGAATGAACAGTGAGTTAGACACGCTAGTCCGCAGCTGTGATGCATGCCGTGAATTTCAGCCGTCTCAGTCTGCCGAACCGCCCATTTCTGACCGCAAGCCCACTTTGCCATTCGAAAGTGTTAGTGCTGACCTTTTCAGTTGCCAAGGTTGCGAGTATTTGGTATTCGTCGACCGCTTAACCGGATGGCCATGCATAGCCAAGCTTGGTCACTCAGCCACGTCAGCTGACGTCATGCGTCATTTCCGCAGGTGGTTCCCAGATGTAGGCGTACCACAGGTCATTTCAACGGACGGCGGTCCTCAGTTTGCGTCTCACAGATTTGCTGAATTTTGCGAGCGCTGGGGAATCCGTCATATCAAGTCGTCCCCTCACTACCCACAGTCGAACGGACATGCGGAAGCAGCCGTGAAGGCAATGAAGTACCTGGTGGAAAAGACTACCAATGATGGTAATCTAGACACCGACGCCTTTCAGCGTGGCCTTCTCGAGTGGCGCAATACTCCTGGCACTTCGGGAAAGAGTCCTGCCCAGTTACTGTATGGTCGCCCACTCGTCTCCTTCGTTCTCGCCCAATGGAGCCAGTTCGACTCCCACTGGCAAGACACCGCATCTGACATGGATGATGTTGATCGCGTAGACCAGCCTCCCAGTCAGCCTCACCGAGAGCTTCCCCACTTGTCTATCGGGACGCACGTTGACATTCAGCACCCGAAGACAAAACGGTGGTCTTCCCGCGGCGTTGTCGTGGCTATCGGTGACCACCGCGACTACTACGTCAAGCTACCGAGTGGACGCGTATATTGGCGCAACCGTCGCTACCTCCGCCCGTACCGTCCTCCTACTCCAGCTTCAACAGCCATGCCTGCATCGTCTCCCGTACCCGACGCTGCACCACAAGCAGTCCCTGTGACTCAGTCGTCGCCACAGTCAACTGTTCAGGTACCACCTCGAACAAGCCAACGTCCCCGGCGACAGAATGTCCCCTTTAACATTATTTCAACGCGTGGACAATCGTACAATTAACACTCGCTCTGTTCAGTTGTTGATGTCCATTGTACCTATTCAATTGTCATTCCCATTGTTTCGCAGTTGAAAACCTTCATGTATATAATTTTTGCAATTATCCCTTTTACAAGTCTGTTGGAAGTTGCTGCTGCTCGGCGACATGTCATTTGCTACGCACATGCAATTTTCACATTATTTTTTGTTGATTAGATAAACACTTGTACGTTTTTATCTTAGGAGGGGCATGATGTATATGGCATACTTCCGTATATCAGGTATATGGTGCAACTCCTGCACCCGTATGCACCCGCCTAGAGCTCCTGCTTCCATATGCGCTCGTACACACTTTCCTTGGTGTTCGTACACACTTCCCTTTTGTGTTCGCACACTGCTTGGAATGTTGTTCTTCGTTTGTTGTCCTCCTTGCTAGTTGTGAATAAACTCTATCTGACACCACAGTCACACTCAGCAATCCACTTGTCACAAGTGTGTGTGTGTGTGTGTGTGCGTGCGCGTGTGTGTGCGCGTGTGTGTGCACGTGCGTGTGTGTGTGTGTGTGTGTCTCTCTCTCTCTCACACACACACATACACACACACACACACTCTCTCTCTCTCGCTCTCTCTCTCTCGCTCTCTCTCTCTCTCTCTCTCTCTCTCTCGCACACTGTCCATCTTTTCCTGATCGCTTTATTCCTTTCTTATCATTCTTGTATTGTGTTGTCCAGTCCTGCTTTCCATCGTCCGATTTGAAGGCACGGTTATCATTCCCATCCCTGAAGAATCGTGATTGCCTTGTCCTGGAAGCATCCGCTTACAAAGGGTAGGTTGCTTATGTCAGGTTCTGGCATCCAAAGGTGCCACTGTTTGTTTTCCGGTTCCAGCATTGTTTCCACATCGTGGATGTTTACCTCTCATCAGTTATTGCATACCTTTTGTGAAGTCGGTTCACAGGTGGAAATTATGGGGGGGGGGGGGGGGGTATCAACGATAATTTGAACACCTGATGTGAGTCTTTGCCTTCGGAGACCCCATAATTATAACACACTTGTAGCTTGTTTGGCACTTGCTGTTCGTGTGTTGACCTGTAGTGGCTGTGTAGCTGTGGCCTGTTGACTGTTTGTGTGAACTGTCTTTGCTATTCTCAGCTCTGGTATACAGGATGGTATAGAGTGGCTGGTGCAGTGCGTACAGCTCAACTCCTCTGCACGACCGCCGCATCTACGCGAGGTTAGCTAGCCACCTCCGCACGCGTCGCAGCTTCTCCGTGTGGGAGGGAGCTGGAGCTTGCAGTGTTGATCATTTGACGCTGCACTTGAACTTGAGCCGACCATGAGTTGTGCGTGCTACCCTGTACTTGTCCTATTCTCTGTATCATGTGATCCTTCTCATGGGGCTACCCTTTGTTAGGCCTAGCACTATTCAACATTCTCATAGGTCCATTCAATTTTATTTTTATTTCACTGGTCGGTGTACACTGCATTGACTACCGGTACGCGCGCGTGTACCACGTGGATGGCACATGCTTGATATTATGTTATCCTGAAAACTGCAGACTGCCTGCCGACTGTATTTGCCTGTCCGGATAAAGTCAGCGAAGCATGCCCCTTTCTTTAGCTTTCTTACTTTCAGATTTGCCGTACGTAGCCTGGGCTGCTTCTTTTAACCCTTTGTGGGTCTTACTCAATGTATGTGAGGGGTGGTCACGCAAACACGTGTACAAACAACCAGCCATAACTCAAGTTCTGTGAGTTGTAGGTATGGGTAAACTATATATTTTCAAAATCTGTATGCCTGGACGAGTGCAGAAAACACAAATATGACTATGTCCAGGCAAGAGTATGACCCGTGGTAGCCCTTCAAGTTGAGAGAAAATACAATTGCGAACAAAAAAACACGAAAATCACAGCACGAAGTGCATACCAAGTTCGTGATGGAGCTGAAGTCCTATGATAAGCAATCAGGTAAGCGCTGCGTCTTGGTGAAGAATATATGCGCCTAATTCCGTCCTTGAACTCCAACACGTCGCCATCGGCGAGGCACCAGCAGCAACAGTTCCACAATATCACAATTTTGGTTCGTTCACCTCAGCGCCGCTCGCGTCAGATTCGCTCTCGCTCAGATGAGTACGAGACTCGTACTCAGGTGCGATGTCACGCATGCCGTGATTCTCACGGCCAGGCGAATCAGCTGATCGCACCTGACAAGTCCCTGTAAGAGTTGCTGTTGCTGTGCTTCCTCGCTGGTTGGTAAATTTGATTTCTTCATTCGGGGACGATTTATTTGAGCTTGGAGGACTCAACGGAGCTCTCTTTCCCACCACATTACACTGGAAATCCTCTAGGGACATCCAGCCTAGACTAGTGCCGTCAGTGTCCTCAGAAAGCTTTTCTGACACGGCCTCAAGAGATGCACTCCCATTCTCGAAATGCGCGCATGGCGGATGTTCGTCTTTTCCAATTTCACCCGACTTCAGTGAATCGATACTGCAAAAAATTGTATGGTAAGTATGGTTGTTTTTTACACCGTTGGAAAGCCTTGGACCTCAGCTACGCGTGGAGCACCATTTTAGTTGTCTCCTAGCAACAAAACTCACCGAAAATACGATTTTACTGTAAGGGTCACATACGACCCTTACGCTTATGTGAGACCCATAAAGGGTTAACCTGAACATTTTAGGAGCCCATCTGGCGTATTCTTAATTAAGACTTTGCCACTCTGTCGAGCTATCACTGAGCTCTTGATTAACCCGTGCATTCAGACCACTGTCTCAATCTTGCAATGTGCTGCGAATAGAGGTTATGCGATTGTATCATCAGCTGAGATGCGTTGGAAGTCGCGGACTCGCGGTACACAACAATGTACTGGGTAAAGCGAAACCTCCGACTCCCGCTGTATACATGAAGTACTTAGTTCCCATAAGCGATTCCGCTGTCTCACCCTGTATGCTTAGTGCCAATAAGCGGTTCAGCAAGTTCACCGCCATGACATAATTGCATAGCCCCACCATGAATGCACAAAGTTGCGACCAAAGACTGGCTACAATTTGTAGTGTAATACCAAGAGTACATAACCCCGGGGTTATGTACTCTTGGTACTACCTTTATAAAATCTACTGAGCTGCTCAATGAAATCCAGTCGCGTCGCTGATATGTCTATGAAGTTTGCGCCTTGCACCATTTCGCAGCCCGGTGTTCGCAGGTCTAGGGCTGCGCCATGCCCGGCGCATACTTGAGGGTTGCGACTGGATTTCATTGAGCAGCACTGTAGTATAGCCAGGTCCTGACCAACACGGCAATAGGTACAGTAACCACCATGATAACATGGCTCATGCACTTGAAGTGTGTGACTTCGACGATGTTTGCAATCTGTCCCGGCCCCCACGACAGAACAGGACAACACGATTCCAAAGTACATGTACAAGATACGGAAAATGTAGAATTTTGAAATTGCCCTGTGATGAAATTATTAATTTTTTTTATTATAAAACAGGAAAGCAAAGTACTACATGCAAGTTTTCATGAAAGGCGAAGACCAGAGAAACGTATTTTCTATGGGTATATTCAGGGAGTCGTCAAATACCAGTATTTGACGACTCCCTGGGTATTTTCATAGTATGTACGACAAAGTTGTGCGAGTACGTGCATGAGAATGTACACTAAAGTTGTACAATACTAAATGAATTGATACAATCGTCATTATGTGGCTGCTTCCACTGTGTTCCAGATGGCCACATGCTGATCATAACCTGTCTTCTGCCAAGTAAAAGTTCTGGCCTTTGCCCATTTTTGTCCATGTTAGTTCTGCGTAGAGATATCTCCAGTACAGGTGAAAGATATCGCTACCGAGGTGCGAAAAATAGCCATACATATCCCACAGCTACTTGTAAGACGAGTATTTTAATTTTTATCCGTGTCACTGTCATACATCATGTGCTTCGCATGATCCGAACGACTTCACGCGGTCGAGTTCACCTGAACCAGAAAGAGGCCGTTTGGCTGTACATGTACTACTGTGGCAGCAGACATGGAATTGTCGATATTTCTTCCTTGTTTGGCCGCATGCAGTGTAGCATGGTGTACTTCAGAAGTTCAGTACTACCAATAGTACCATTGCGGCTTTCGCCATAGCCATGATGATCTGACAGAATATCATTGGCATTGCGGCTTTTGCCATTCTAATAGCCGTGATGATCTGACAGATATACAAACGGTCATGTAGCTGGCTTGACATCGTGATGTACTTACAAGTAACATAAATTCTTTTGTACATTTCAATCAGTACACGTACACGTACAGGTACGTGATTTCATCCACATTTGGGCCAGTGCAGTGTGAGTCTTCGGCCTCTCGATCCCCCGGGAGCGGGGTTATTCTGGGGAAGGAACCAGGACGTCGGACAGGGCCAGGGCGAAGCCAAACAAAACAAAACAAAACTAGTTACTACACCAGTTGCGATCATTACTTACTTCGGGCGGAAAGATAATAATATTCCCAGTATTGCAGTAACTAGTAAGCCATGAACCGTGA